CCCCCAAAACAACAGACAAAACCAGCCAACCAATCAAAAAATACTGAAATTGAGAATATTTCTCCTGTTTTTATAAGACTCTTCCAAAAAGGCTTGGTTTTCAGTTTTCCAATGTTTTATTCTTATACTAAACAGACCCAGTCCCAAGAAAAACTGGACTTCTCCAGCATCAAATACAGGCTTTTCTTTCAAGATCAACATAAGTGAGTAACTCTGGCAAACAAACAACTTGGCTTCTTTAATTTTCATGGCGGCAGTAACTTGCATTTCATTCAGCTTAATAGCATGTGCCTGGAATGTTCTCACCGCAATGTCTTTTTGTTCATGTCTTATTTTTTTAACTATAGTATCATTTTTTCTTTGTATTCAGAGCCACACATTCTTGTCTAACTATTAAATCAGTAAATGCTTCTCTAATTTCTCTGAGAAATAACAAGCTGCTGCTTCAGTTGGTTGAAACTTGGGGCTAAAACACTTTCTAAAATTGGCAAAATAGGACTGGTAAGATTAATTGCTAAGGATAATTCAAATTTCCATTTTCATGAGATCATTGGGTGAAAAATGAGAAGTATTGATTTGAAAACAGCAAACTCCTTCCAGAACATTTTAAGTGAAAGTTTACCCCTTCGGTACATTTTTAAGCTCTAGATAAGGAGAAGAGTGAATGTCTAAAGAGTTTTATGTGCTCTGGCTAACCAGCCACAAGTAGCATTTCTATTTAAAAAGGGGGAAAAAAACCTATTAGGAGGGTTGATCATATGTAGGATATCATGTATGTGGGAGGCCCCTGATAAGAGCAACAACGGTTTGGAAAACCTGTCTTACAATGAGACACTTAAAAACCTCAGTCTGTTTAGTTCAGGCTTGTCCAACATATGGCCCGTGGGCTGCCACGCGGCCCTCCAAGCTGTTTTCTGAGGCCCGAGGTGCTGCGGCGGGAAATGGAAGTAAACACTATACTTTCATTTCGAGGGGGGGGGGGGGGGGGGGGGGGCGTAAATGCTATACCGCTTCCTGTGCAGTCTTTGAATATGGCTCGCCGGCCCACTGGTTGATAAAAAGTTCATGACCCAGCCCCACGTTCAAAAAGGTTGGACACCCCTGATTTAGTTGATCCAGGAGAAGGTTAAGAAGATATTTAATCACTGTCCTGCCTGCTAAGTACTTGCATGAGAGAGATTTTGTATTAAGAGAGCACTTTAAATTGGTAGATAAAGATATAAAGAGAATCGCATGCTAAAAACTGGAAGTGGACAAATTCCAGCTAGAAATGAGGTGCATGTTTAACGGTGAAAGTCAGTAAGTGTTGGAAAAACTTAGCCAGAAATAAGATGGATTCTCCAAAACCACAGCATTACTTCAAGATAGACATCTCGTTAGCAGCAGCTCCTGGATCAGAAGTTATGGACCTGATGTGGAAATCATTAGCTTATGCTGTGCAGAAAGTCAGACAAGATCATCAGTTTTCAGAGATACTTTGGCACCCCAAGATAAACGTATAGGTGCAGAGAGGTGCTGCCTCTTGAGAAGATCGTATATTGAAAGCTGCTTCCTCAACTCTTGAGGGCTGCCAGGGAGAAGGAAATGATATAGAGTAACCGTTCCACTCTGTTGGCACTCTTACCTGCTATCATTGCCAAATATGCCTCATATGGTTTCCCTCCATGGAAGAAGGGATGAATCATGCATAAGTGAATATCCTTGAATACAACCTTTCTTGTTAGCCTGTCAGTATTTCATATCAGTCAACTTACTTTGATCTTTTGGCTCTCATTCCAGGTTTTCTCTTGTTCAGCTCCATGACCCTGTGATTTATCGCATGTTGCATGTAGAAGTAGCATTGTTTCCATTCATTGCTTAACTTAGCTTATCATAAAAGTAGTAGTATTGTAAGCTTTCCTAATTGTCCCGCAAATTTTAGCAATGGGAATACTCATGAAGAGCAAATTTAACCTATTTAAGATGAACACTGTGTCCTCTGATGACAGGGGGAAAAAAAGAGACTCAAAATCCCCAGCTATGTAATTAAAAACCCACTCTTTTTTTTCCCCTTCCTGTTATTACTTGTCAGCTTGGGTTACATATATAGCTCAGAAGTATGAAGACATACCTGCCCTCCAGTAAGAAACACATTTCCATCATGATTGGGATTAACGTGATTATATTACTGAGAGCGGAACAGCAGTAAAACCTGGCAAGGAGGTAATCAAGCTTTCTGCTTAGTGCATGGAACTGGAAGCTGAATTTGTTCAAAATGGATTCATCATATAACCTTAGACATGCTACTTCTCTCTCTCTTTTTTAGCTATATGTTAAATGGGGAGAAAGACATTATAATAGTTGTGCAGCCACCCCGGGTTTCACAGCTTGTCGTAATAGTGGAGATTAGGCATCAAGTTCTTCTCCAATAATTTGAGGAGAATTCCTACCATGTGAGGGGAAGGAAAATCTCTTCAGATGCTGTGATGTATTTTAGTTCTCATTCCTTCTAGTAAGAAGCAGTGGTCCTTGGGGGTACACCGATAAAGCTTGTTTTTGATCGATACTAATGGCCGATTATTTACCAGTTATATTGGCTGATACCGATCCAATTGCCAAAATGCAGCCTGGCAGCTTGGAGAGCAACATCCAGCTGGTAAGTGTGTTGGGGTGGGG